TATAATTTATTAAGTTTCTATAAAGTTCATTATCATCATGAAAAGGCTACTGGCTGTGTTAAAAGCATTGGGCAAATGGCATGTTTTGGTGCAGCTCTCGCCAAATATTTCGCGAAAACGCGATTTTGCACCGCATGTTCTATGACAAAGTTTAGTTTCACTAAATTATCTGTCGATTAAGGCTATTTGGAAGGAAATCGAGAGGTGACAGTACGTAAGGTTCCTTGTAAGCTTAATTTTCATATGTGGTGTCATTTTCATTTTCATTTTTTCAAGAAATTCACCGCGAGTTCAACGACGATAATATTTTTGACATTATGATCGTGAGGACGAGGTCATATATGGAGAAACGTTAAAGTAAACTGGAATCGCTCTGACGCTACATATTTATATTCGTTTGGATTCGTTTGGATTTTCGCATTCTGCATACATAATCTGGTCAATTTATTCAACTGGCGAATCAGTACTTTATGCATAATTTACAATGCAAAGTGCTAAAAATATAAATAATACACAGATTGTTTACACCTTTCTTGCGAAATCCTTCCCGGTACCTAAATAGATATGTACTATTTAATTCACCTCTCTTTGTCAACCATGATGTTAGGGTTAATTAATCTTATAATTACAGAGTTTATTTGGGATTAGACTTTGCTACCAAACTGTAAAATGCAGACCTCGAATTGTAAGTAAAGTATATAATTTCAGGTTTGTAGCATAAACATTACGTCATTTAGCCACTTGTAGCATAAGTTTGCAAATCCCTGGATTTTTTTTTGAATAGTTGGATTATTGGCAAATCAGCAATTAGCGTGTATAACGTTAACGCTAAATAATTGTATTTGTGTTGCAGAATCCAAGCGCATGCACCTATTCAATTGATACTACAAAGCTATTTATTATTACACAGGATTATGCAAACACAAAAGAGGTTAGCATAGGTTAGTCGTGCATTCAAAGCCAATTTCAGTTTAATTGAAGTGGTATTAGGCAAAATCTGAGTGCAATAAAATATGTACGATTAGTAATTGATACTCATAAAAGCTTAATCCCGTTAAGATTAGCGTTATCAAATAAATTAATATGTCAGGGTTACGGAATTCAGGTTAACACGTGTAACAAAGTAAGTAGTCTTTACTGGCAAATAGATAAATATATATGTAGCTCTTGGACAAGTACATATTTAAGATGAGTGATTACACAAAACGTACTTGCAATACTGTAAAGTTCTAGGCCATTTAAAATGAAAGGTTAAAATTGAAATGATTAACACAAACCTACATATTTAAGTAAGGACATAGCGAAAAGTGGAAAAAATCTTATGCTTCGCATATTTTGGTACGTTTAAAAACTTAAAAATCTTTAAGTATGTATACATAAAGAATGTCCACTAACGTCGCGGACTGATGCAATAAAATGATCAGAACTTTATACACAGTTAATGCAATTTCAAAAAAATTGCATATGTTTAGAACAAAAGGGTTTGGATTGCCATACAGTTAAAATTTTAATGATTCAATTCCGCTATTTGCTACAGATTGCATTTCTTCTTCAGATTTCGCGTCAAATTCCGCCCATAGACTGCACCTACTTTCAAGCTGATTTTCTTCCATCTGTTCTTAAATTTTCATAAGGTGTCTGGCGTTTCTGAAAGCTTAACTTAAAGACTTTTACATACATACATATTTATATATAAATATGCATGTATATAAGCATACATAAATGTGTGTACCTAGTCTAACCATAAGAAGTGATAGTAGAGCGTAGTATTTGACCCGGTCAACATAAAATTAAAATGTAAGTTGCAGTTTGTACCTGCATTCAGTGGCTATCATTGTTGTTAACCTCATTTGCCTGACTTCACTAGGTCAAAAGCTAGAGGAGCTTTACCACACGCGCGCGACAATAAGTTTTCACTTTTTACGCGAGACAAAAAATTCACAATGTTAGAATATAGGGTAGAAATTCAAGGACAACTACGATCTGGTTGCCCAACCCATTAAATTAACCCTCGGGACTGTGACTATTTATGACATAAAAGTTCCGGTTGTCCAAGGTCAAGGAGGAGTACAGTGATGTCCGAAGCTTTGAACGCCAGACTAGCATAAAATCTCTGTCTGACGCCGAAGACTTTGGCCATACAAATGACCTTTCAACTTTAGAAATGAGATGAGCACGGAAAATATATCCTAAGATGGAGGCCTTTTATAGTAGAAAGCATCACGCGCTACAGATTTCCTAGACATAAGCTAAGGTCAATAAATCGACCTCCCTCTCCCAGCGGTACGGTAAAAAAACAAACAAAATTTTCTATTTACCGATGGGAATTTCTTTAAGACGGAACCATATTTCCACAAAAAAGAAGCAGAATTTATGCTAAATATTCTTAGGGTTAGTTGATTACGAAAAGGAGGTCGAATGTTATCTTATCGGGCTGCATTCATTGTTTTGGCGGGAATCGGCGGAATTGGGCAAAAACCGTCCAATTTCCTCGATTATGGAGAGGAGATAGTTTTAAAATATACTTGATTGACGTCAGATGAAGATGGAACACCCCCTCGACCAGTCCATATTGGGTGGAAGGCCACCGACCTTTGTGCAGGGCCCCACAGCAAAAATGCAGAGAAATTCGTGAAAACCTGGCTGACGAAATCTATTTCTGACTTCATTTCCGATTTAAGTTTGTCCTTGGTATTTTCGAACCGAAATTGATTTCACTGCCAAATCATGATTAAAGTCGAGGAAAAGGTCTGTTCTGAGCCCCATCGAAGTGTCAGGGTCACAAAAAAATTTCTGACCCGGCAATGATGCACTTTTTCAATAAATTTCGTGCGTATTTTTGATAGAGCTTCTCCTCTGGTAACCAATTTTTCTCATGGTCACAGGAAGAATATATTTTCAAGTCTGATACATGTTTTCTACGTGAAATTTAACTGGCTTTTCAATGGAATAAAAAGAAATTTGAAATTCCTTAAAACTAACCTAAAATAGTCGTCTACTCTACTATCACTTTTTAAGTTTAGACTAGGTATGTGCATACACTCACAGAAAAAACGACACCGAATTGACACCATGCCGGTGTCTATATATGACTCTACCGGTTTGGTGTCAAATCGACATAACGTGGTGTCAATTATGTTGCACACCGTCGCGGTGTCGACCCAACATACCGTTGTAACAATGCCAACACCGCCAACGGATTAGAGGTTGTGCTCAGTTATGTTGCTTTGAGACTACTAGGTAACGATATATGTGCATTTTAATATATGTATGTCACCAGCCGGTGGCAAATCGTCCCCGGATTGTGACAACTGAAATATAACTTTTAGCAACAAATATTTTATTTTACATTTAAAAATATTAAGCACTTAAAAAATTAATCACGTATTTCAAACATATTCACAAGTAACAAGTTATTGTACTCGCACAAATTAAATAATATTTTTTTTCTCCATACCGTATGTACTTTTAAGATAAAAGATTACATTTATCTAACACGGTGATCTAAAATATGCGTAAATCTTAAAATTCAATGAGCTTGGCAACAAGAGATTTAATCATAATTAAATAGGCTGTCGGGTGGACAAATCCTTACTCGTCGGTTCCCTCGTTGGGTTCAGCGTTGAGTTTTAGCTTGCTGGAAACAATAAGTTTTCAAAATAAAAATACACACAGTAAAATAATGTTAATTAAATGAGGGAAAATTAATATATGTTACAGATTTTAACTCACCTAAGTCAAGAAAGTGGTAGTAGTTCTTAAACGTTTTAAAAAAACAATTTTTTCGAAATTAATTGAACACACCAATTAATTTATCCACTTTGTTGATTTTTGTGGAGAAGAAGGACAATGGCCGCCAAGCAGAACCGAGCACACAAGGAAAAAACTGACACAATTTTGTGTTAAGCCCAAGTCTTGCTTACTGCGGTAACATCGCATCGTGTCAATTCGACACCATTGCCGGAATATCGCTGAAACCGGTAACGTGTCAACGCGTTTTTTTCGCTCGGTGTCACTTTTACACAACGGTTTGACACTATTTAGTGGAGTTGAGGTTGACACCGAGGGGTGTGGTGTCAACAGAATTCTTGGTTTTGTTACCAAGTTGCTAAGAGTGTACTTCATGAGTACACTCTAAATAAAAATGAGTAAAATTGACCCAACATTGGTCAAATTTCACACAAGTTTGGACAAAATTTGCAAAACGTTGGACAAATTTTACCTTTTGGTTATGTCATCCTCATTTCTGCCCAACCTTGTGTAAATTTTACTCATTTTTACTGTATTGTGCCATAAACGGACGGACAGATTTCCGGGTAGTTCACATAAAGTAGATTCTACTAAACACGGGTATAAAGTCAGACGATTGAATGTCCAGTATTACATTCTTACTTGTGCGGTCTTACCATCTACACCGAAAATGTTGTGCATATTTTTCATTGTAGGACTGGTCCTTCAATTGACCCATGGCCATGGTATGTAAGCTGGCTTAAATTTTCCGAAATAAAAATATAATTGCTCAGTAATAAGACTAATTAAGGTTAGGAATATATCGACATATGTAAATTAAGGGGACAGTACACAATTAAAATTATTAAATTAGTAATTATTTAGAATTAGCAAATAACTAGCCTGTCTTAATTTTTGATTAAGTTAGGTTAGCACAAAAATTTTCTCTTATTGGGCAATACTTAACGAATTAGTAACTGGTTTACTAACTTATTTTAGCACTGGCCACGCAATCCGGAGCAGAGCAGCAACAGTTGAATGATATCAGCCCGCTAATTGTTGGCGGGACTGATGCCGCCGACGGAGAGTTCCCCTACATGGTTTCCATTCGTTTGGGGAGCATCCATTTTTGTGGTGGGACCCTCATTTCTGCCTGGACTGTTCTAACTTCCGCGTAAAACAGGATAAATGTTTCTTATGGAATTAAGTGTGATGAATCATGTTTTTAAAATTTTTAGTTGGTGTTTGGAAGGAAGAACTGCAGATTGGTGACAGTACTTGCCGGATCAAATTCGATCACCACTGGTGGTGTTGTGAGACCAGCTTCGGAATTTGTTATTCACATTGGATGGAATAACGTAACTAGGGTCAATGACATCGCACTAATTAAGGTGTTTCTTCTATACTGAGCTACACTTACGTAATTATTTAGTGAGCAGCATTCCCGGGATACAGGTTGGAATTGTGTCGTACTGGACACCCAATGAATGTGCCCTAGGTACCCCGATGCAGAACCCATTGCTTATTATTTGCATGCTTATTTAGTTTATGAGCTAGAAATAATTTTTTGTCTTTGGACCTTCATTCAGGGCAACCAGTGGTTAATATTCGACTAACGGAATATCGATTATGGATTCTGGCTAATATTTTGCAGTAAGACGGTCGCATTGTTTAACTATGTAAATATGTGCAGGATTGAAGGACTCTTGTTATTGTCCGATACAAAATTTATTTTAAACTTTTCGAACTTCTGAAGTAGTTCGTAAGCACTTCGTATGGAAAGTATTTGTAAATTTGGATTACATTTTGTTGAGGTGTTCATATCCTTCTACACAAATAAATTGGCGTACTGTACAAGCAATCATTATGGTGCAAATAAACTTCGTTAATATGCAAAGATGTCACCAAATTCAATTTCTCTGAGAAAAAATAAGAAATCATCTAAGAATAAGATAAAAATAAGAAATCTCACCTTGCGTACATATGTAGCATCGAGAGAAATGGACGTGTATTTTAACCAACAATAGAAAAAAAGTCTGACCAAAAAGTTTGATCACATTTCATCATTTTATACCTAATAGGTATGTTACGTAACTAATGAAAATTATTGAAAAATCGCTTAAAAATCCCCATTTCTTCCTTTTTGTACGCCGGAAGGTGGTTGAATACAGAAACTTGCATACACATGTACCTACATATGTACACATCACTTACTTACTGTGGATGAAGTTCTAACCCTGCAGACTTATTACACCGCTTTGTAGCATTAATTTCACGACGTCACCGGTCAAAAAAATTTTTTCCTCCAAACTGGTCCAAAATAAAAGTCTAGCATGGGAATAGTATAGAAAAATTATTTTTAGCGTTCTATGACCCCTGGGTCATGAATTAAGGGCCCCTGAAGGGTCAAATAGCGTTCCCTGATAACCCCATGCAAATGGGTATCAAATTAATCCCCTGGACCAGGGGAACCAGAAAAATATTTTTATAAATTTTTATGACCCTTGAGTCGTGAACTAGGAGCCCTTGAAGGGTTAAATATCATTCCCTCACAACTAAAGGCAAGTGGGGTATCAAATTAATCCCCTGGACAAGGGAACCCAAAAAATATTTTTCTGGATTTTTTTGACCCTCAGGTCAAGAGTTAAGGGCCCCGAAGGGTCAAAATAGTAACCATGGTAACCCCATGCAAGTGGGGTATCAAATTAATCCCCTGGCAAAGGGCAAGCATAAAAATATTTTCCTGAATTTTTTTGACCTATAGGTCAAGAGTTAAGGGTCCCTGAAGGGTCAACATAGTAACCATGGTAACTAAGGTGAATGGGGTATCAAATTAATCCCTGGACCAGGGAATCAGGAAAATATTTTATGCTTGCCCTTTGCCAGGGGATTAATTTGATACCCCACTTGCATGGGGTTACCATGGTTACTATTTTGACCCTTCGGGGCCCTTAACTCTTGACCTGAGGGTCAAAAAAATCCAGAAAAATATTTTTTGGGTTCCCCTTGTCCAGGGGATTAATTTGATACCCCACTTGCCTTTAGTTGTGAGGGAATGATATTTAACCCTTCAAGGGCTCCTAGTTCACGACTCAAGGGTCATAAAAATTTATAAAAATATTTTTCTGGTTCCCCTGGTCCAGGGATTAATTTGATACCCCATTTGCATGGGGTTATCAGGGAACGCTATTTGACCCTTCAGGGGCCCTTAATTCATGACCCAGGGGTCATAGAACGCTAAAAATAATTTTTCTATACTATTCCCATGCTAGACTTTTATTTTGGACCAGTTTGGAGGAAAAAATTTTTTTGACCGGTGACGTCGTGAAATTAATGCTACAAAGCGGTGTAATAAGTCTGCAGGGTTAGAACTTCATCCACAGTATGTATGTATGTAAATATTTAGTGGGCAGGAGTAAAATGTCCTTGAATCCGCATGACATGAATTCAGCTCACAATGGAGATCTCCCAGCGTATGCTCTCAAGGGAACAAATCGAGGTGTCCAACGAGTTAAGGGTCGACACCTGTACCAAAATGACCACAGTACATTACTTATTCAACAAACTGAATGAATTTCCGTGTAAAATTCATTTTTCGTCACGTTGTGACGATATTTGTGACGAGCGCAAGACCATCGGTTTGCCTCCATTGCATTTCCAGACCATTGATTTTCATCGCATTTTTTCACAAGCTTGCATCATAATATGGTGGAAAATGAAAAAGGAGAATGAAAATTGAATGAAAATTAACAAGAAAATCCGACAGGCTTTATTACAAAAATTATTCATTTCAGGTGATAATGGAGGATAGATGAGTATAGCATAAACCATAAGCGGCGCTTACGGTTTCCTAGATATATAATATATATGTACGTGTGTGTCCAGTTCCCCGAAAATTAACCAAATAGGTAGTTAAGGGTGTAGGTACACAATTTTATTTTTACTTCAAACATGTCCAAGTATCCATTCATGTGTCTCATGAATCGCTTATCCTCAAGTTAAACGAAAACATTTATCGCATTCATATTAAAAATTATAACTTTAGTTAGCCAGCCATGTATGTAAGTACAGGACGTATTATTTATGCCGTTTAAAAACTCGAGCAAACTTTATTAGCGATTGCAAACAATATCACGTTCAAAATGTATGATTTACTGTTTTGTACGTATCAATTATGTACACCCACGCGTCACACGTGCAAAAAATGGATATAGTGTAAGTCCTCATCGTCTAGAAAGACATTTACATAATGGTGTGCTTATGTTTACGTAGTACGGGCTCCCTGGATATTAGGGAATTGACGAAATACTTATTAAAATTAGTCAAGGGATTGGCGATTGCCGAAATTAGGAATTTAGCAGAATGCTACGACACAAACTTACTAACGACTTCCCAACAGGATTATTAACATTTATATTTACTCTAATTTGTCTATTTAATATTGACGCTGAAAGCAGCTTCGTTGAACATGTTATATCTCCAGGGAAGATTGAAATTAGTGATTACTTGACGCCGTTTGAAGGATGCACAAACATTATCTTCATTCCAAAAAATCCTATAGACCTAAAGTTGGACAAAGCGCCAATTATCCTGCTTAAGACAACTATTCAAGAAGAACAAATTGACAAACGATTTTCTCTAGAGCGAAGAGAAATGTTATACAACATTGCTGGGCATCCTTCGGAATACTACTAACCCTAACAATCTTAGTAAATATATGAACTGGAGACATCGATACATTAAAAAAACTTCTTTTGGAATACAATACTTTGTCATAGTTACAAACTTCAAGTCTACCTTTCAGAAATTTATTGAAACATTAGGAGCTGCATCGCACCGTTATATTCTGCGCGAAATTATAATCGTCGAAGTGGTACTAGACACAGAGAGGATAATACTTCCTGTACTTGAGAATAATGATAAAGATGGCATTGTTTTATACTATCACAATATGTACCATCATGATGGAATAATCCTGAAGGGACAAAAGTCAAAATGGTGGTATAAAATAACGTGCTCAATCCCCGCTGGGCAAAACTGCTTCAAGAAGTTGCAAGCTATTGGTGATACTGTGTCAAACCTTAACAAGTACTTTTGGAACAGAAGGACAAATACGGAGAGAATGTATAACCGTCTTGATTCAAATGCTAACCCAATTAAAAGGTGGTACAGTGTATCTGAGAAATTTATTCCGTCAAATTTAATCTCATTGGTCGAATTTTGGCTGTTAAATGAACACATTGAATACGTCAAATTAAATATTACACCTTTTTACAACCTCCCTGTGCTGAAAAAATATGCATCAGCACACATCAGACCATTAGAATTTATAATGCAGAAAGTTCAAACTGCAAGTTTTCTGTCGTGCTACAACGTTAAGCAGGAGTCGTTTATTTTGAGCGCGTTAAATAGTCCGTTTGATGTTGAATCATGGATCCTCATTCAGTTGGGTATCTGGGTTATGATAATAAGTTTAACCCTGTTGCCAAGGGTTTTAAGTTCCGACGGGGTAATGGTTGTGGTCGGAATACTACTTGAGAATTCGGTCTTGAATCAGTCAGAAAAATTTACGACTAGATTTCCCAAGAGATCTTCCAAGTACGGGATACATCTATTAATTGCGGCATGGGTACTCCTGGCGGGAACAACACTAACGAACTGGTATAAAGCTTTATTCACAATGGAGCTGGTTACTCCTCCTACCTACGCTCCTCCATGGGAGACAACTTTGGATATTGAAGGGATTCAAGTACTAATGCCTTATAACCTTCTCGACATGACTGGAATGGAAACAGCTATAGACCGTTACATGCGTTTCTATATTTCCATAAGCGAAATATTTTTTCCTTACAATTATGAAACAAAGTAAGTTTTTCCTCACGTTTGTCGCTTGAACAGCATTGATGATGCTCATGCACATCTCTTGTGCTGACCTGTTGTGTTAACTATTACACTGATTACATATATTTATATAATTAAAGGACTACATTGATTGTTGCGTTTACATATTTCTAGAAAGTATCAGGAGATGAAAACCTCACATAATGGTTTCAAGCGAATGGCAAGCCACTAGAAAAAACAATTCCGCTACTAAATGTTCGAATGTCCACCCAAGACAATGGAAGCATAGATGCATTCTATAAACGGTTGGAATTGATATCCTACAATGAAGTCCTCCAGTTTCTCCGTACAAACCAATCCACTACAAAGAAGTAGAACGGTTCGTAAACACATTATCTACCTGTGAGAAAACGGCGTTCATTGACACTAAGGAAAACATTGCATCGTTACTACCATTCGTAAGATAATGCGGACAAAAGAAAATATTTCGCGGGAAAAGAGCCTTTCTTTACTGTAGTTCGAGGCTGGGATATATTCCCAATTCGTGCAAATTACGTCCAGAAGCGGCTCAAAGTCATGATTCACTCAGGGATTTATGGGCATTGGGAGGCTTGGTTTCGATTTGCTAAGCCAAATAAATTATTTATCACTATGCAAATTGGACATATCCAAAATTCGATGCCGTGTCACAGCTGAACTATAACTCCAAGATTTTGTCAGGATTTTATATTTCTGGTATTTGCATAGTTGCTTGCCTTTTTTGTTTAACTGCAGAAATATTAGTGCGAATGTTCAAATAATCCACGTTTGTTCACAACCTTGAATTGATTAAGCAGTAAATCCAGTAAATCTTACATAACCTTTTGTACATACACACGATAC